TAGCAGTACCACCTTGGAAACCAAAGAAGGGGTTGCTGTGAGTAAGATCCAACTCGACGACAGTGAGTTTGAGTTTTCTGGTTTTGATGAATCCAGGAAGTCTTAGATGAATGTGGATTTCCCTAATGATAGCAACATTTACATGAAAAACGTTGAGACTTTAAAAGTCTCTATTTAAAGCAGTCAGGAAGGTGGTTTTCAGGAGGTAGGATGTGCTCGGTGGGTTCCGACTTGGCAGAAACACCTGCTTCCCAGAGCCCTGAGTGCACTGATTGGAAGTTGCTGCTGTGATGTGTGGCATCCATGTGCAGGGTGGTGGTGGTAATGCAAGGTGTATTAATTACTGTAAGCACATAGGGCAGATGGTACAGTAGCAGTCATTGTAAGTGGCCTTCTGCCATCAACAGGTGATGTTTAAACTCTGCTCCCAGTGTGGTGGCTATGCCGTGCCTCCCCTCTCACTGTAGCTAGGAAAAGCTGGCTTATTTAGAAACGAATCCAGATGGTGTCACACAGCTCAGTCCTTTAAGGCCCCTCCCCCCCCCTTTTACATTTTATTTTGTTGTTGAGGCTGCACACAGCACGATGGACACCAGTCCCGCCATTTCTCCAGGTACAGCTCAGTGTCACTGTCGCCGTGCTTTGTATTGGGCAGCCATTCTCACCCTTTTCTGGTTGTTCCTACCCCATTAACACAAACTCTCTGCCCTTAAGATTCCTATCGAGTCTTTGCAGTTGCTTTTGTCACTTTGATCCCAAACAGACACTTCTTAAAAGAGCACAATACTCAAAGCGGGCATGTTTTATGAGTTAAGGCAAACTGATGTTTGGTTTTATGAAAACTTTAGGGGACATTTTTGGTTTAAGGTTTAAAGATTTTTCTCAGGGCAATAGTTTCTGGGGTTCATCGGTGGCTAGAGGCCATGAGAATTTGAAATTCTGTTCTGCATGTCCTCCCTTTTGATCAGGCTTCTTCTTTAGAACCTTAGATGAAAATGTCCAGTAATGGTAAGCTGGGTACCATTCAGTTCTCCTGGGCTCTTGGCAAAGGAGGCCTTTAAAGTTCTTGATGTAACTTGTAGTCCCAAAACACACAGCTGCGACCATGGAAGCACTCACATCCCTGTTGGTCAGAGCGTACATTTTTGGAATCATTATTTTACCTGATAAATGATTGAATTTCACAGTATACCCTTCCGTGGGGTGCTCGGTATGGGGTCTTGAGGTGGGAACGTGTTCAGTTCCAACAGCTGTGGTTCACGGACAGTGTCACAGCTTTGAGTTGTTCCGTCTTGGGTTTCATGTTTAGTTTCTGGGGTGGAGGTCAGTTCAGCAGTAACGGCAGCTGCTCTCGGTTTTGTAACTTCCTGGAATTGCAGACAGACTGCTTATCTGCATTTTGTGAACACAGTTCTATAGTTTCACTTTCCCCGTAATTTTGTGAACGTTTCTGGGGAGAATGGTTTGGAAATGAAGTCAGCCCCAAGTCAATGGCTATAGTAACCATCTTTTTACCTTCCACATGTTGTCTCGTTCAGCCTCGTCACTCTCGGGAGGAAGCCGCCTTAGAGATGATGCTCTGGGGTTCAGAGAGTGTATTGGCTGGTTCGGGGGTCACAGCCAGTTAGTGGAGCAACTGTAATGTGTCTGTAACTTTATTCCTTTTATCCAGGACTGGTGGGACTGGACTTCTTCTGCTGGGGCCTCAGCCTTGGAAGTTTGGGTCCTTGTACTAAGTGAAGAGTCGTAAAGTCACGGTGTTAGCACAGGCCTGGACGCAGAGCTCTGTCACTCTGTGACATTCCGACTGGAAGGTCCTGAGTTTGTCCCCTGCCTTGACTGCTTTTTGTATGAGAGCAGTTTTCTGTTAGGATATAGTCTTTTGTTGAGGCTTTTTCTCTTAGCTAACAGTTGTAACAGGTCCCTGGGTGGCACACACGGTTAAGCGCTCGACTCTGCATTGAACAGGTGGTTCAGACCCACCTGAGGCGTCTCCACATGCAGGCCCGGTTATCTGCTTCCAAAGGCACAGCCTTAGAAACCCTGAGGAGCAATCCTCTGCCCACGTGGGGCCACTCTGGTGGGGCCGCTGGGGGTCGGAATTAACAACAGTAGCTATAAAGCGTCGTCATCAGTGCAGTTTTCTGGTATCAGTTAACCCATAAGCGTTTTTCCAAAGCTAATTGGTTTTAAGTCTGAATAATTCAGTTTTGGTATAATCTGCCTATTTTGAGTAATGCTATGATGTGCTTTGTCCAGAAGGAAGACGTGATATAAATCACTCATTCTGCAGACGCTGGTGTCAGAGCTGAGAAGGAAGGTCATGGCATGGCCGGCTAGTTTTCACAGAGGGACGCTCGTCTCCCGGTTCAGCCACCATCACGGTGTTGTGTTCCTGCTTACCTTCTTCAGGTAGCTGACTGCTGAACTGCTCTCTGGGTTTTTGTTTCGTTTTTCCTTTGAAGGTGACAGTGGGTGGCAAGTGTCTGGTACACTGATTGCCATGGGCTCGTGGCGAAACAGACCAGCTATTCCTGTGGTTCCCCTTTGTGGTGATTCTGGTATAGTGGTTCTCATCAGGGGCCTGTTTTGTCCCCCAGGGGCCGTGTGACAATGTCAGGAGATGCTTTGGGCTCATCTCTGGTAGGTGGAGACCAGGGACGCTGCTGAAGAGCCCGCGGTGTGCAGGCAGAGCCCTGACAGCAGGGCAGGGTGTGGCCCACAGCGTCAGCATTGCTGCCGTGGAGAGGCCCTGATCCAGTGTGAAGCTGTCCAGCTGTTAACAGTAGGAGCTTGAGGACAGAGGGTGGGCGTGTCCAGGGAGCGAGTACCCAGTGCTCCTTTGAGCCCAGGATGCTGAGAGACTTTGGTAGCTGACGGAGAGCGAGAGCACTAAGAGTGCTCGCAGCCCTGACGCATCAGCAAGACTGATGAAGTCACCACTCGGGAGTCCATAACCCAAAGTGGGCCGTTTGGGCTCAGGGGCTTCTGATAATGTGAGACTGGGAGTCAGCTCCTCTGATGGCTGTTTCAGAGTAGATTTTATTATTAATCTTTATTAAAGGAACCACAAATGATGATAATGATTTTGTTTTAGGCAGCAATTAGGAAAAAGTTTCCCTAATTATGTAAGAGTTGATGGATAACTTGGTTTAGGGACATTGATTTGTGGGAGGAAAGGGAGGGAATGGCATCAATATGAGGAAGAGACGAGGACTCTAGGAAAGCTACTGACTGGCTAGTGCAGTAACTCAGTGAGTGGTCAGTGGTTGATAAAAGCACAACAGACCAGCGGTGAGGCCTGACAATAAGTACACCTGCATTTGCCAGTTCCCGGAATGAGTTATGCGTGAACTTGGATTGTAATGAAGATAATTAGTTACTTTCCTCATTTTGTCTCACACCATCTCAGTTGATAGTTCTAGTAAAGCAGGCCCCATCAACTTACCTCCTAGAGTTGAATGAAACTGTTAGATGTGGACCTGCGACTTGATCGGATACCGTTTCCTTTGCTGTCCGTTCAGCTGGTTTCATATGTCTATCTGTCTCTCTCTCTCTCATAGTTATTCATTGCTCCATGCTTCCAGGAAAACATTTAGCAATGTCAAAGTCAGTATCTCCAAACAGTGGACCCCAACTGCTTTCAACAAGTCCGTGGAGCTGCCTGTGGAGGTGAGCAGAACGAAGTGTGGGGGCGGGTATAAGAAGGAAGCACCTTCCCAGCTCCGTCCAAATCCTTCTTTGCATCCCTACCTGCTCAGGACACTGGAATGGCTTCCTCTTGCCTCTGGCATAAAATCCACACCCACCCCTGGTTGGAAAGCCCGTGGGATCCAGGACTGCGCTGCCTGTCCAGCCAGTTCATTTCCTGCTGCTTAGAAATCCCACTTTGGGCCCGGTGAGGCTGTTCCCCATTGAGTTGCCCAGTCCCTGCAGCTGCCTTTGACATTCTGTGCACACTTACATGCTCTTTCACCTTCTCTCCACCTGTCCAAAGTCCTGTCTTTCCCTTTGTCTTGCTTGGGACAAAAGGCTACTTTTTTCAATCCATTTTTTTTTCCCAGCTTTACTGACTTGTCCTTTCTCTGAACGTTTGCACAGTGAATCACATGGTTTAATGTCTCAGTATTTAAATATTTCCTCATTGATGTATTTGTATCTTGTTTAAGCTCCTTGAAGTTGGGGAGCATGTATCTCAGTTCCTTACATTCATCAGGGACTAAGTAAATCTGATGGTGGTTTAGGGCTGTCTTGTTTTAATACAGTGCCCTGTTTTAATACACCAGCACTTGCTGATCAGGTTATCACGCTGTGCACCGTTTCAGGAGTTAGTATGTGGTCAAGAACCAAAGGTCATTGGCAAAGAATGACGTCCAAGCTGCACTGAAGAAACTGGCGAAAAGCATGGCTCCAGGAATCAATGGAATATCCATTGAGATGCTTCAACAAACGGACGCAGCTCTGGGGGCACTCACTCACTTTTATCACGAAATTTGGAAGACAGCTACCTGGCCAACCAGCTGGAAGTGATCCGTATCTGTGCCCATTCCAAAGAAGGGTGATCCCACAAAATGTGTAAATTATCAAGCAGCATTATTAATATCACACGCAAGTAAAATTTTGCTGAAGATAATTCAGAAGTGTTTGCAGCAGTACGTGGACCAGGAACTACCAGAAATTGAGGTTGTATTGAAAAGAGGATGTGGAATGAGGGATATCATTGCTGAGATCAGAGAAATCCTGGCTGAAAGCAGAGAATACCAGAAGGCTGTTTACCTGTGTATTAACTGTGCAAAAGCTTTCAGATGACTGTGTGGATCATAACAAATTATGGGTAACATAGCAAAGAATGGGAATTCTAAGTACTCATGAGGAACCTGTACTTAGGCCAAGAGACAGTCGTTTGAACAGAACAAGGGTATACTGCGTGGTTTCAAATCAGAAAAGGTGTGCATCAGGGTTGTATCCCTTCTTAATACTTATTCAGTCTTTGTGGTCAGCAGATAATCTGAGAAGCTGAACTATATAAAGAAGAACATGGCATCAGGATTGGAGGAAGACTCATAAATAACCTGCAATATGCAGGTGACACAGCCTTGCTTGCTGAAAGAGAAGTAAAAGCACTTACTGATAAAGATCAAAGACTACAGCTTTCAGTATGGATTATACCCCAAAGAAAACAGAAATCCTCACAACTGAACCAGTAAGCAATAACCTGATAAATGGAGAAAAGATTGAGATTGCCAAGGACTTCATTCTACTTAATTTCACAATCAACATCCATGGAAGCAAGCAGTCAGGAAATCGAATGACATGTTGCACTGGAGAAATCTGCTGCAAAAGACCTCTTTAAGGCATTAAAAAGGAAAAATGTCACTTGGAGGATTAAGGTGTGCCCGAACCATGCCATGGCATTTTCAGTTGCTTCCTATGCATGTGAAAGTTGGACAATGAGTAGGAAAGACTAGAGAAGAATTGATGCATTTGAATTATGGTATTGGTGAAGAATATTAAATGTACTATGGATTGCCAGAAGAGTGAACAAATCTGTCCTGGGAGAAGTACAGCCGGAACGCTCCTTAGAAGGGAAAATGGTGAGACTTCATCTCATATACTTGCGGGACCAGTTCCTGGAGCACATCACACTTGGTAAAGTAGAGGGTCAACGACAAAGAGGAAGACCTTCACTGAGATGGATTGACAGAGTGGCTGCAACCGGGGCTCACACAGAGGAACCATGGTGAGGATGGCTCAGGACCCAGCAGTGCTTCGTTCTGAAGAGGGGTCGGCCCTCATCCTCCTGAAGCTTACGTTCCAACAGGAATGCTCCTGTACTGTTTTTTGGAATTTAACTGATTAGGAATTTTTAACAGAGGCTTAGATTTCAGAGTGAGTCTCTTGACCAGGGTGGCGCAGATAGTTAAGTGCTCGAATACGTGGTGAAAGGCTGGCAGTTTGAAGCCACCTAGAGGCAGTGGGAAGACAGGCCTGACGATCTGCTTCTGGGAGGTCACAGCTTTGAACAGCCTGTGAGCGATTCTGCTTGGCACACGTGGGGTCTCGGTGCCAACAGCAGCACAGCAGACACACGATGATCGTCAACTGACTGACTAGACTGTGTTTGGAATCACGAACTTTTAATGTTTAATTTTTTTTGTTGTTGAAAATATAAGTGGTTGTTGTTAAGTGCCGTCGAGTCATTTCCGACCCATAGCGACCCCATGCACAGCAGAACGAAACACTGCC